GGGAAAGAGAAACGCGTGCACAAGTACCCAGGAGGTGGGGGAAGATCGTACTCAGCAAACATTGTTATCACAGCTCCAAACTGGAGACGATCCGAAAGTCCACCGGCGGCAGAGTGGATGCATCCTGATGTGCACACAGTGTGGGATATTGCATGTAATTCTCTTCCTGTTCTCCATCCTGCAGCCCTGCCCAGCCAGGCCCAGGGTCCTTCCCAGCATTGTGGGTACTAGCCATCCATCCTGGGGCAACAGACTCACAGGCCTCACTCTTCTGTGTGTAAATTGGGGCTCACCACAGGCCCAGTACCCAGGCAAAAAAAAAATTAGCTAGATTTACTCCGTTCTTTGAATAAAGCTGCGTAACAGCTCTTTATTTTATGTAGGAGCTATTGTTTTGTATCCAGTGGTTACAGAGTCACACACGACTCGGGAAAAAATCAGCCTCAGCGAGGTTCAAACCAAGACTATATGGTGGGTCAAGGGAACCGTTAGTGAAGGCCGAAAGAACAAGTCTGTGGGAGAAACACTGACTGCGGACGTACTATATGCCAGGACCTGGCCCGCGTAAATGTGACAGGGCACCCATCCTCCAGGAATCGGACAGGTAAACTAAGCGTTAATATTTGTACCTAAGTTTCTAGCAGCCACAATAGAAGCACCTCCAGAACCCAGAGGGGTGCCAGTGTGGGACCAGTTAATTCTGCTTGATGAGAGCTGGAAGGGAAGGCATCTGTTAGAAAAGTCTTCATGGAAGAAGCAAAGCTGACGCGGAGACCTGCAGGGTGGTCCCTGTCCGTCCGTGAATGAGGACCGCGGCCACCACCTTGTCCCCAGGTGGTGTTTACTGGGCATCCTCGGGAGAGAGAAGTGACGAAGACTGTCTGCCCCCTGTCTTCGTGGGGAATGCAGACATCAAATGAATACATAATGCGTCGTCAGGAAGTGATGAATACCAAGGGAAAACCCAAAGCAGGGATGCTGGAGGACACAGAGGTGGAATGGCACGATGTCTTGAACTTGCTTCAAAACCGAGAGTGGAAAACTTTTAAACAAATTTTAAATATTGAAATGAAAAAAACGAAAAGGAGATAAATGAGGCAAGAGTGGTAACATCTTGAGGCTAGGCATTGGGTGCATGGATATAACATTCTGTCTACTTTTACATTTAGAGATTTTCTTAACAGGAAAATAGAGGAAGGTAAAGGCAGCAGGTAAGGGGGCAGTGACGGAGGCTAGGTGGTGTCACACAGAACCATAGGATCCTGTGGCGAGGGGGCGCTTGTCAGGGGAGATGGCTTCTGGACCCCGAGTGGAGATGGCAAACAGGTAGTCGGATCTACAGTTCTGGACTCAGGAAGGAAGCCAGGGCTACCGAGAGGTGTTGAGAGGTCGGCGACATGTAGGAGGCATTTAAACCCTCGGGTCTGGACATCCCGGACGAGTTGAGTGTAGATCTCGGAGGGAAGAGGGCCGAGAATTGCACTTAGCACCCTGGAGTCTATATCCTGAGGAAGCGAGGGGTCCCAGCAAGGAGACTGTCAGGTCCTCTCGGGAACCAAGAAAGGTGTCCAAGCGATGGAAGGGCTCCCAGGTGCACGGAAGCTGTCAGCTGCATCCCCTGCCGTGCGGGGTCGGGTGAGACCAGGCCTGGATGGGAACGGGTGGGTCTTGTGTTGTGGAGGTCATGTAACAAGAAGCTGTGTGCTCACTGACCAACTCTGAAGAACCTGAACATTTTGGTGTCAGTAGTTTCGAACCTTTGTATTTAAAAAATGAAGTAAAACAGTGAACAGTAAACTTCACCCTTGATGCCGTTGCCCCAGCAGGGCTGCCTCAAAATCATGAAAAAGTAAAACACGTTGTTGCTCATCTAACGTTTACAACCAGAAGGAAAATGTGTGTCTCACTTCCCTTTGCCATGTGCAGGCCCCTCGTTTGGAAGCCCTCACCATTCTCGGGTCTCTGGTCTGCTTTCCCAACACCTACCGTGAGATCCCTCTGTGGCAGCCGGTGCCCGAAGTTACCGAAGTCACCAGGGGAACGGAAGATGTCAAGGTACGTGATGCAATGACCGAATCTCAGGTTAGCATCTTCTATAAATTTATTTATTTAGTTAGTTATTTTTTATTTTTGGCTGTGTTGGGTCTTCGCTGCTGTGCACGGGCTTCCTCTAGTTGAGGCGAGCGGGGGCTACTCTTCGTTGCGGTGCGCGGGCTTCTCATTGCGGTGGCTTTTCTTGTTGCAGAGCACGGGCTCTAGGCGCGCAGGCTTCAGTAGCTGTGGCTCACGGGCTTAGCTGTTCCGCGGCATGTGGGATCTTCCCGGGCCAGGGATCGAACCCATGTCCCCCTGCATTGGCAGGCGGATTCTTAACCACTGCGCCACCAGGGAAGCCCCGGTTAGCATCTTCTAACTCGAGCTGTGTGTTTCTCTCTTCCATTATTATGCATTGAGCTGCTTATCCCTGAAAGTTTGGCTGTATCGTTTAGATGTATCAGTTGTTTTTTTAGAAGGCTGGTTTTGGGGGGATTAAATGAACTAGATGGAGAGCGATGGTTAGGTTCCTCGGGTGTTTTTTATTAGATCTGTTTATCATGCCTACGGATCATGATTATGTAATGAATCATTCTTTGTAATAATTTTATTAGTTTAACTATGCTGCATTAGTGCATCAAATGAATTTATAAGAAATAATTGAAATAAGCTAAACATTCAATCCCATTGTTGGCCTGATTAAATGCTACTACTGTTTGAGGTTCTGAATTAATCCTTGGAGAATAAAATTAAACAGTCTCTCCTCAGCTGACTTTGGGGCGAAGAAAAATGCTTTTCAAATCAATCAATTAATTTATCTATCTATAGTACACAAGTACAACGTGTAATTCAGTGTACGATGTATAATCCAGTTGAAGTAAAAGAAAACCGAGATTTTTCCTATGACGAAGAGTCATTTGCTCTGCTTGGTTTTTATCGTATACACAGAAACGCTC